GGAATAGGCTGAGCAGGACGAGGGATGACATAAGGAAATGAGTGTCGGGAAGGGGCGGGAGTTGACAGGGAGGGGATAATTATAGAAATAATTACTTATCCCCCCCAAGGTGGCAGCCGACCCCGCAGTGCCCATCTCCAGGGCCTGCGCCGCTGGAGCAGCGAGGGCAGCGCGGCGCCGCCAGCTACATCTCGGACGCGATCGCTGCCCTCGGCCACGAGCCGCCAGAGCCCCCGCAGCAGCGGAGGCCACAGACGCCATGGCAGCAACCAACAGACGGGGAGTGGCGCAGGGATGAGTGGTGGCGCACCAGGGGGGGCGAGGGGCGCGAGTGGCAACAGCCGAGCGGCGAGGCTTCCTCGCTGCAGGACCGCAGGGTCGACTCCGCCTGGCGCGACATGCAAGTTGCATTCGGCAGCGACCCGCGCCCCAGTGACTGGTGGAGCAGCCACAGTGGGCGGAGTGGCGGCCAGGGGCACTGGGAGGCCACGAATACGACACACTGGAGGTGGGTCGAACACCCCCCCGAGACCAATCCCTGGGAAGAACTTAGCTGAACCATCGCACAGGAGCCGCCCCTCCGCAGCAGCGGAGGGAGGCCTCATCGGCCGAACGTCGACCCTCCGCAGCAGCGAAGGCCTTGCCAATGCATCGCGAGCGGCGGCGACTCGCGCGCGCCGTCGTGCTCGGCGACCGCTGCCCGAGCGGAGAAGGACAAAGAAACGGCGCTTTCATCGGTGCTGTCGTTGCCTCCTCTCCTTCATCGTTTTCTTCTCCCTCCCCCTCCAATCCCCCATCCCGCCGTCGCATCTTATCGTCTCCAATCGTATCGGGAGCTCCCGTGGCAGAAGAGCACCCAGAACGAGGTCCTCCGTGACAGAGGGGGGGCATCTTAGACCCCCTCTGTGACAGAGGGGGGGGGGCATCTTAGACCCCCTCTGTGACAGAGGGGGGGCCAAAAAACAAATGATCACTTTAATGCGGCTTCTGGATTATTTTGAAAGAGAATTGTGGACTTGTGCATCTTTTTGGTTGGGAACCGACGAGTTGTGCAATTATTTTGAAAGAGAACCGACGCGGTTCCCAATCAAAACAACAGCGCAAGTCGTCAATTCTCCATGAAAAAAGCTAGATAATTTCGAAATCCGAGCCCGGCCAGACAAAACGAACAAGGTTGCACAGACCGTCGGTGCCCAATCAAAAAAGCTGCACGAGTCGTCAATTCTCTTTCAGCGAAGCTGCACAAGTTCGAAAACCGATCCTGGCCCGACAAAACGGAAAAGGTTGCACAAGTTGTCGGTTCCCAATCAAAAAAATTGCCCAAGTCGTCAAGTCTCTATCAACAAAGCTGCCCAAGCTCGCAAACCGAGCTAGGCCCGACAGAACGGAAAAGGTTACACACATACCGTCGGTTCCCAATCAAAGAAGCTGCACACGGCGTCAGTTCACTTGCAAAAAAGCTGCGCAACTTCGAATTCGAGCCCATCCCGACAAAACAAAAAGGGTTGCACGACCCGTCGGTTCCCAATGAAAAAAGCTGCACAAGTCGTCAATTCTCTGTCAGAGAAGCTGCACAAGTTCGAAAACCGAACCCGGCCCGACAAAACGAAAAATGTTGCACAACCCGTCGGTTCCCAATCAAAAAAGCTGCACAAGTCGTCAATTCTCTATCAGTGCAGCCGCGCAACTTCGGAATCCGAGCCCGGCCCGTCAAAACGAAAAAGGTTGCACAGACCGTCGGTGCCCAATCTAAAAGCTGCACAAGTCGTCAATTCTCTTTCAGGAAAGCTGCACAAGTTCGAAAACCGATCTTGGCCCGACAAAACGGAAAAGGTTGCACAAGTCGTCGATTCCTCATCCAAAAATTGCACAAGTCGTCAATTCTTTTTCAGAAAAGTTGCGCAAGTTCGAAAAACCGATCCTGGCCCAACAAAACGGAAAAGGTTGCACAAGTCGTCGATTCTTCATCAAAAAAGCTGCACAAGTCGTCAATTCTCTGTCAAAAAGCTGCACACGTTCGAAAACGGAGCCCGGCCCGACAAAACGAACAAAGTTGCATAATTCGTCGGTTCCCAATCTCCAAAGCTGCACAGGTCGTCAATTTTTGGTCAACAAAGCTGCACAAGTTGGAAAACCGAGCCCATCCCGACAAAACGAAAAAGAGTGCGCGACCCGACGGCCCCCCACCGTCAAAGCTGCACAAGTCGTCAATTCTCTGTCAAAAAAGTTGCGCAAGTTCGAAAATCAGACGCCCGGTCGCGCGCGTCCGCGAACTTGCAGAATTTACGGGCCCGGCGTTAATTTAGTCGATTTTAAAATCACGAACCTGAACTTAAGTCGATGGGGGCGTTAACACCCCAAGGAATCTAGCGAGCTCGCACGGGGAAAAAGATGCATGTGTCTTTTGTGCTTTCATCACTTGTCGCCGCGCCTCTTCCTCTGGGGTCTTGAAGAGAGCCCGCGTTGCTTTGGAGTTGAAATTGTGTTCTTTGGGCAGTAGTTGAAATTGTTTTTTCGGACTAGCTAGTTGATGCCGGCTTTTGTTTTTCACCGAAATCCCGAATCCTCAGGAATTCATTTAGATGAAATTCTGAATCTCCGGGAATTCGGGAATTCGGGAATTCGCGCCAACGTCCCGTATCCCCGAATTCCTGGGACTTCGGGAATCCAGCGCGAATTCCCGAATTCCCAGGAATTCACCAAGATGAAATTCTCAATCTCTGGGAAGTCGGGAATTCGGAGTTCGCGAATTCTGCAATTTCCGAATTCGGGAATTCATGAAAATTTACGCAAAATTCTGAATCTCTGAGACTTCGGGAATTCGGGAATTCGCGCCAATTCTCAGAATTCCAGAATTCCTGGGGATTCTGGGTTTCGGCGCGAATCTCCGAACCCGCAAGGAATTCAACAGGGATGGATTTCAAATTCCGGGGAATTCGGGAATTCGCGGGATTCCTCAGAATTCCCAAATTCCTAGGGCTTCAGCAGAGATGTATTTCTGAATTCCTGGGAATTCGGGAATTCAGGTGGTTCCTGCGAATTTTTGGATTCCTGAATTCCCAGGAATTCAACAAGGAAGGATTTTGAATTCCTGGGAATCCGGGAATCCTGGAATCCAGGAGATTCCTGCGAACTCCCGAGTTCCCGAATTCCAAGGAATTCAGCAGGGATGTATTCTGAATTCATGGGAATTCAGGAATTCGGCAATCCGGTGGATTCCTGCAAATTCCCGAATTCCCGAAGTCCAAGGAATTCAATAAGGAAGGATTTTGAATTTGTTGGAATTCGGGACTTCGGGAATCCGGGAGATTCCCGCGAATGCCAGAGTTCCCAAAACCCCATGATTATGAATTCCTGGGAATTCGGGAATTCGGGCGCTTCCTGCGAGTTCCCGAATTCCCGAATTTCAGGAATTCAGCAGGGATGGATTTTGAATGCCTTGGAATTAGGGAATTTGGGAGTTCGGGTGGTTCCTGCGAATTCCCAAGTTCCTGAATTCCGAGAATTCAACAGGGATGGATTATGAATTCCTGGGGATTCGGGAATTCAGGGAATTCTTGCGAATTCCAGAATTCCTTCAACAGGGATGGATTCTGCATTCCTGGGAATTCGGTGGATTCCTGCGAATTCCCGAATTCCCAGGAATTCAGCAGGGATGGATTCTGAATTTCGGTGAATTCGGGAGCTCGGGAATTCGGTGGATCCCTGCGACTTCCCAAATTTTCGAATTCCCAGGAATTCAGAAGGGATGGATTTTCGAATTCCTGGAATTTCGGAAATTCGGGGGCTACCTGCGAATTCCCGAATTCACCAATTCCCAGGAATTCAACAGGGATGGATTCTGAATTCGCTGGAATTCGGGAATTCGCGAGATTCTTGCAAATTCCCGAATTCCCGAATTCCCAGGAATTCAGCAGGGATGGATTTTGAATGTCTAGGAATTCGGGAACTCGGGAATTGTGGAGTTCCTGCAAATTCCCGGATTCCTAGGAATTCAGCTGTTGATGGCTTCTGAATTCCCGGGAATTCGGGAATTCGGTGGATCCCTGCGAATTCCCGAGTTCCCGAACCCACAGGAATTCAGCAGGGATGGATTCCTAATTCCTGGGAACCTGGGAATTCGGGAATTCGGAAAATTCATGTGAATTTCCGAATTCCAGAACCCCCAGGGATTCAACAGGGATGGGTTTTGAATTTCTGGGAATTCGAGAATTCGGAGGATACCTGCGAATTCCAGACTCCCGAATTCTCAGGAATTCAGATTCTCAGGAATTCAGCAGGGATGGGTTCTGAATTCCCCCGCTGATCTGCGCGAGGGTGCAACCGAATTTAAAACGTTGTAAATTCCTTGTGCTTTCGGACCCTGACCCCGCTGATCTGCGCGAGGGGTGCAACCGAATTTCAAGCATGTTGCGAATCCCTTGTGTTTTTGACCGTGACCCCGCCGATCTGCGTGAGGTGGCGCCGACGTTGAACAATTTGGCGAATCCCCTGTGTTTTGGGATCGTGCTCCGCTGGCAACCGCACGCACGCGCGACTGTTGAAAACGCGTGCATGTTTCTTGTGCGAACTCGCTTGGAAGTCAAACAACCCAAATGATTTTATACATGTATCTGTTTAGTGACTGCACTCGGTTTGGTTTTCGGTCGACGCGGCTCGTCGCGTTAACGGTGGATGTGTGTTTTCCTATGGGTTTTCGTCGAATCTAGCGAGTTCGCACGGGGAAATGCATGTTTCCGCTTTCATCACTTGTCACCGCGCCTCTTCCCTTGGGGTCCTGAAGAGAGCACGCTATGCTGTGGAATTGCAGCTGTGTTGTTTGGGCAGTAGTCCATCTGCGCTTTGATGTCCGGCCATGTTCCATCGCCCATTTAGGTTCGAGATAGCCGAAGGGGGCGTCGGTCTGCAGCGGGATCACCGCTCTGTCGCTTTGCTCACATGGATCGCACGCGCGCGGAGGCAGTCCGCGGCCAGCCGGCAGCCCCCCCGTTGCCGGCGAGGGCAACATTCATCCACTTCGAGGGGGCGAGGAACGCCAGCTCGCAGCGGCGCGCCATGGCGATGCCTCCCCGCACGGGGGTTGTCTACGTGCTCGGCGCCGCGGAGCACTCTTCCGACGTCGGGGGCCCCCTCGCCGCCGCCGCGGGCGCGGCGCCGGCCTCGCCAGACTTCGTCGTCGCGCTGCAGAGCCCGGAGCAGAACGAGGCCGCCCCGCCTGTGGCCCGCGGGGATTCCGCCGAGCCGAACGCCGAGGAGCCCCCTGCGGATGTCGCCCCCTGCCTCGCCGCCGCGCGCGCGGCGCCGGCCTCCTCGTCGGGCGAGTCAACGGGGCGCAGCGGTGATGCCCCGTCTGCGCCCGTTGACGGCGACGGCGGCTTCCCGTTGCCCATGTCGCCGCAGACGCGCAACCGCCTCGTGCGCGAGCTGAAGCACATCAACGAGAAGTTCCTGGGCCCGCCGGCGCGCGGCTACCGGGCGAACGCCGCTGGCACAGTGGTCAAGACGACGGGGGGGCTACTGGCAGTGCCGCCTGCGAGGCTGGAAGCGTGGTGGCGCATGCGCTGGCAGGGGGGCGCCTCCGACGCGGGCGCGGCGGCGCCGAAACCCAGCCCGAAGAAGCCCAAGCCTGCGTCGCGGTCGGCGAAGTCCCGTCGGCGCAGGGCGTCTGCTCGCGACTGCAGCACTTGCAGCCTTTCCAACATCGATGCGTTCGACGAGATCCTCGCGGAGTCTGCTGCCCCCTGCACGACGCTGACCCTGGTCGCCCTTGCGACTCGCCGTCGCGATGCGCCTTCCCGCCGGAGCGGCGCGAGGGCGAGGGGGCGCGGCGCCGGCGTCGACGGTGGCGCGCCGAACGAGGAGATGGCCGATTCGGCGCGCGGAGACGCGCCTTCTGGAGGCGTGGATGCGGCGTTCGAGCAGGCCCCGGTCAAGTCCGTCGCGGGCCCGAACGGGGGGGAGGCGGCCGCGTCGGCGCTCGCGGGCGCGTCCGCCAGAGGCAGGGGCGCGGCGCCCGACCTGGACATGGCGGACTTCGTCGAGGAGCCGAATCAGGACTTGGCGGCGTCGGCGCCCGGGGGCGCGCCCCCCCGAGGCGAGGGCGCGACGCTGAACCAGGGCTCGGCGGAGTCCGTCGAGGAGCCGAACCAGGGCTCGACGGCATCGGCGCCCGGAGGCGCGTCCGCAGGGGGCGAGGAGGGCTCGCCCAGGCCATCCCCGGCGGGTATTTTCAACGAGCTGAGCATGAGGATGGCCGAGTCGGCGCTCGAGGGCATGTCCGCGGGGGGGTGCGAGGAGACAGAGCCCGACCAATTCTTGGCGGAGTTCGTCGAGGACCGCCCCCCGGGACAATAGATATGCCCCGCATCCCGCCCCCCTTCCCCGCATCCGCCCCTTCCCTCTCCCCCGCCCCTCCCCGCCCCTCCCCCGCCGCGAGGAACTGGGCGACCTTCGTGCGCAGCCTGGGCGAGATCATCCAGCAGGCCGGGGCCCTGGAGAAGCGCTATGGGGCAATTTCCTGTCGCTTGATTGACCTGCTCCGGACAGTGCCCGACGTCGTCAGCGAGAGCATCCCGGTTGATTGGGCGGGCGCCCCCTGGTGTTCAGTCGGCGGCATCGGCGCGCCGATCGGCGAGATGAACCTCGCCACCACGCCCCAGTACCAGCGCGTCCTGAAGGAGCGGCTGGAGCGCGCCGGGGGGCGTGACCTGGTCATGGACGCAGAAGCCCGCAGGAGGGGCGATTTCCCGGAGGAGTTGTCCGACTGCGAGAACCCGCGCCGGCCTTCGACGCGCCGCCGCTGCCGCAGGAGGGGTGCGAGCCAGGGGCTCCGGAGGCGCAGGTGCGCGCGGGGGGCCGCTGCGATCGGCATGGGCGGTTCAGACAAGCTGCCGCCGTTCTCCCACCTCGGGGCGGACTTCGACCACATCGAACGCCCGCGCGCCCAGTGCGCTTTCACCGCGGCGCAGGTAGAGCTGCATCACGCGTCCAGGCACATGACTTGCGATCAGTTCTTGCAGGATAAGGACACCCTGGAGCAGATGGCCGGCAGGAGGGCCGCGTTGCTGGCATGGTTGATGTGGGAGGAGGGCAGTTGGAGGTCCGATTTCGGTGCCCGGGCGGAACGTTTCCTGGCGGCGATGGGCCACCCGCTCTGGCAGGCGGCTCGCGGGGGCCCGCGGGCGGCGCGCTGCCGCTTGCAGACGACGAGCCCCCGCAACTGGATCGGAGACGGAGAGCGGCGTCCTCGATCAAGCAGTCGTTGGAGCACGTGGAAGTTCAAATGATGCGCAGCACCGGCGAGCTGGATGAGGATGACAGGCCCGCGACTCCGGACCCCATGCTGCCGGACGTCAGCAAGCCGGCGTGGGAGCGCATTGTGCAGGAATGGCGCTGGGCCATGTCGCGAGACGTGGGCGCAGCGCCGGTGGGCGGAGCGACGCTCGCAGCGGCAGAGAGGCTCGGAGGTTGGCCGAGGGGGTCGGGCCCAGCCATGCGTAGCGCCCGCGTGCTCTCCCAGGACGGCAATTGCATACCGCTATCGTACGCCGTGCTGTCGGGCGACTTCCGCGGCGCCATCCACTACTGCCAGCGGTTTCCCGCTCGCCGTAGCACGACGCGTCGCTACGCTGACGTGGCCGCCCATTTCGGCTGATCCTTGGGATTTGCAGGGTTGGAGACCGCGCGGCAAGGGCAGCGCGCGCTCCGTCCCGGGCTGAACTTCTTCCACCACCGACGGCATTGTCGCCCAGTGGCTGCCCTGCCCGATACTGACAAGGCCTGCGTCTGGAGGGGCTGCAACGTGCACTTCCTGAGGATTGCGCACTTGGCGCGTCGCGTGGAGATGGTCGGCGGGCAGCGCTCTTGCTCATCGATGGTGGCTGTCTTTTCCCTCTTTGCGCAGGTCTGAGAGCTGGCGGGGGATCGGACTGCGAGAGCGAGCCGGGTCCAGTGGGCGCCGAGGCGAAGGAGGCGGAGGCGCCCGCCGTGGCACTGACGCAAGAGCTGAGCGGGCTTCTTCCTTCGGACTTGGAGAGCGATTTCCCTGGCCAGGCCGGTGACGGCGCGGCCGCCGCGGGGGAGGGGGCGGCGTCTGCCGCGGCCCCGAGCGCGCCCGCCGCTCCGCCCAGCGGCCACGCCCGCCAAGCCGGCGCAGGCGCGGCCGCCGTTGAGGAGGCGGCGTCTGCCGCAGGCCCGAGCGCGCCACCCCCTCTGCCCGACGACGACATGGCGAACGCTTTCGAGAAGCCCGGGAGGAGAAGCCGACCGCGCATAGCCTGACGAAACATCTCGACGAGCACTTCGGGAGACACGTCGGCGCGGCGAAGTGCGAGGTCATCCTCCAGTACTTGGTGGACCTTGATTTGAGCGTGGACGACAGCATGCTCCTCCAGGCGGAATGCGTGTACCTCTACTTCGAGTTTGAGGAGCGCAGCCTCTTGTACCGCGTCAGCCACGGCGCCTGGCACACGTGGGGCGAGCAGGGCTGGGCGCTGAAAGACGGCCCGAATCGCGTTATGGAGCACATGCAGACGGGTTTCTTGAAGGCCGCGAGGGAGGTTCGGAAGCTTGCCAGGCAGCGGAAGTCCTTCCCGCCGAACGAGGACGACGAGGAGCACATCCGCACGGCGTTCCTGGACAAGCTCGTCGCGGCGGTGGAGGGCAAGGGCACCGTGAAGGCGTTGATGGACCTGTGCGCCATCTTCTTCATGCTGGACCCCGTGTTCGACACGAATCCAGATATATTTCAGTGCCGCAGCTGCGTGCTCGATCCGGCGAAGAACTGTTTCAGGGAGTCTCGTCCGTCGGACATGACCAACAGAAGTTCGTCCGTGGCGATTCCGAAGGCGTGGTTGGAGGATCCGCCCCAGGTCATGCCGCAGTCGATCCAGCAGAGAACCCTGGTCTGGAACTCGCTCTGGAGCAGCTGGCAGAGGGGCGAAGAAGGCGTTTTCCACCCGGGTGAACATTATGACGAGCTGGGGGACTGCGACCACGAGAGTTTCGATTTCTTCAGATACCTCGTGGCGCGGCTGCTGGGAGGCCGCCCGCTCCAGAAGGTGGCCATGCCGTTCTCCGAGCGCAGGCGGAACAGCAAGGGGCTGTTGGAAAGGATGTTGGAGAGCGTGTTCGGAAGCTACTACGCCCTCGTCAAGAACACGATCTTCCTGGAAGAGCGGCGCGCGGAGGATTAGTACAACGCGGGCGCGTTGGATCGCCAGGGGGCACGCGTCGCGGCCACGAGCGAGCCGCCCGAGCAGCCGTGGAGTTATTCAACGTTCAAGAACAAGGTCTCCCGCGACAAGGTTCCGCGCCGCGGCTGCAACGGCAAAGTCGTGGAGAAGCACTCGCCCACTTTCACGTTCTGGTTCTCGACGAACGCCGCGGTGCGCTTTGCCGCCCCCCCGAAGAACTCGGAGAAGGACCAGATCTTGGTGCTGAGAATGCTGAACAAGTTTGTGGACGATGGCGAAAAGTTCACTTCGCCGAGGCAGTTCCGCAAGGATCCCAAGATCGAGGACCGGGCCACGACGAGGACTTTGGGCTCGGGTTCCTGTTGGCCCTCGTGCAGCGCAGGCAGAAAGTGAAGAACCTTGACGAGCTGGTGGACCAGGGAACCAAGACCAGTCGTTTCTGGGTGGAGAAGTGGTTCAGCACCGAGCAGATGGACGAGGGCGAGCCGGGGGGGCCGTCCGCGCCAGTACCCGTCGAGGTACTCGAGCAAGCAGTGCAGACGTGCAAAGAGGACCACGCGAGGTGGTCAACGAAAGGGGCAGGTCGCGTCGTTCCCGAGTGGGAAATCACAAAGGAGAGGTCCGAGGGCAGAAAGGGCGAGCGCTTCTTGGAAATACAGAAAGTCATCAGGAATGCCGGAAGAGTCGGGGCGACGCTGGCGAGGGTGACCTCGTACCTCTCCCGAAAGAAGCAGCCCCAAAAGGCAGTCGAGCTGCTGCCGCTGGACGTCGCGCTGTACGACGCGATCATCTCCGACGCGGACGCCGTCGGGACCGTGGGCTCGTGCGCGTACCCCCCCCTTTCCACGATTCTTTCACGCAGAAGGACGGGTGCCGGGCTTTCATCACGGCGTGCGCGTCCGCGCGCCCCCCGACGCCTGCCCACACCTTTGCGTGCCGCGTGCACTCTGTCGTCCACGTGGAGAGCCTGGCCGTCGAGGCCGCGAGGATCGCGGCCGACCCCGACGCCGAGCCGGAGGAGCACGCCAGGTGCGCATCGTGGATGCGGCGCGCATGGGAGGAGGGGCAGGAGTTGAAGGTGGGCTCGTCGCGCTTCCAGTGGCTCGACGAGGAGCGCCGTCAGCTCGAAGGCGTCGGTCGAGCATGCGCCCCCGCACCGAGTTGCCAAGCTGCTCGTCGCTCGGCGCGCGCGTCCAGCTGGGGGAATTTGCCGGTCGCGGAGTGGGACTTGTGGGAGCTGCGCCAGGTCGCCCCGGCGGAGGACGTGAGGGAGAGCTTCGGGCAGATCGCGAGGTGCGTCGCGTCGCCCGCTGTGTGGCGAGGGAAGATCGCCGAGTACTGCGGCATCAGCGTGGACCAGGCCAAGCAATCGTTGAATCGCTTGGTGCGTCCTCGAGGCAGGTGCCGCCTGGGCGACGAGTGGGAGCCGGGCGCCGGGGACAGGGGCTACCATTTCTTGCCGTGCGTGCTGGAGCTTCGGCATCAGCTGGGGTCAGCGATTTCTCTGATCTCAGCGAAGTCGTCGCGGCTCGGGTACATCGAACATGGGGGAGACAAAGAGCGCTGAGCACCCCGAGTCCACCGCAATCGCTTTGTTCCTGCAGGACTCCGAGAACGCCGCGCTGGGATTCCTGCTTGACTTCCAGTTCTACCACAACATTCAGCCCGTGTGCCTCTGCTTCGACGCTGTCTACTTCGTTCCGCCGCTTTTTCCTGCTGGTGGGCGACCGGTTGCGGCAGCTCGCGCAGACGGCGTCAGACGCGACGTTCGCCGCCGGCGGTGTCCGCATCAAGTCTTCGCGCGCCTCCAAGGGGCAGTCCGCCCAGGACGACGCGTCGGCTAGCCTGGCGTTCTACCGGCACTCGCTAGTGCGCCGACAACTCGCGGCACCCAAGAGAACAACGTGCATTGGCGTGCCCTCAGAGGGGCCGCCTGCGAAGCGAGCGAGGTTCTCGGGTCGGGCGAAAGGGGGGGATTGGGAAAGGGGGGGGTGCGACATTTGCTGCGTGCAGCTGGTTTCGGCCTCACCGATGGGGCCACTTCCTCGATGCGTGGGCGCCTCCCGGCGCCGGGAGGCGCCGGGAAAATCATCTCCGCGAGCTGATTCTCAACCCCCCCCCTTTCGCTTGACCCGAGGTTCGTCGGCAAGCGGTCTCCACAGGCCGCCAACGAGGCCGTCTACGCTCAGTGCTTGGCTGCAGGAAACAATTGCGTTCCGTGGTCGTTCCTCGCCCTGTCCCAGCATCTCGTGCACTCTCAGAAGTTCCTTGAGTTCGCTTTCTCTCCTGGCCCCCACAGCAACGCAGACGCGGCCGACGCGGCGCGGGAGTTCCACTCGCTGGATTTAGTGGGCCACGTCGACCTGCAGTCCCTCGAGCCTGGCGGGTGCGTCCCCCCTGCTCGCGGAGATCCTGGCCACGGCGACCGGCTGGTGATCTCCTCCAACGAGCCGCCCGTGGTTCTCCTGCGGGGCGCGGGCGGCGCCCCAGAGCCCTGCGTCGTGGACCTGGCCACGCAGCGCTGCGACGTCGCCCGGGCTTCCCGCGGCCCTGCGACCGACGGGCGCGACGTTCGCTCGGACGAGCGTCTCCGCGAGATGGCCGGCGCCGATGGCGAGGGCGAGGCCCTGCCCCCCGCGGTCGACGACGAGGGCGAGGGCGCCCCAGGCGAGGGGGAAGACGACAAGATGAAGGAGGGGGACCAGGCGTTCTGGGAGTCGCTGAAGAGGGAGTGTCGGGAGTATCTGGACCTGTGGGAGGGCGGCGGCTCGCTGGATGCCCGCGCGTGCAAGAAGTGCGCGTTCTGGGCGTTGGCGGAGAGAAGAAATTTGGTGCACCACGTGAAGACCTATCACACGGATGAGAGGGTGCACTCGGCCTGCAGCATGGACGCCCAGCTCAAGTTTGCCCGGGCGATCTTCAATCAGCGGAGAGTGTGTTCGATTCTCCATCCCGGGGCACCGCCTGACGACTTGCTGTCCTCGGCGGCCGCGCTCATCCGCGACTGATGCCGGCCTTCCGAGCAGGCGCTCCGAGTGCTGAGGCGGTCCAACGAGCTTCAGCTCGTCACGGTGTGGACACAGAGCGGGGCCGCGATGAAATTGAAGTGCCAGACTGGGGATGCCCGGCGCCTGAGCGCCAAGGTGTATTACACGGCCGGTTTCCAGGACCTGATCACGTCAATCGTCCTGCGCCGCAAGTTCCACCTCGCGACCGTCCTGCAGGACCTCGTGGCGCTCTGGGCGCCGGACAACTGGGCGACGTTGCTGTTCGGGAGGCAGGCCCAAGAGTCGATCTGCGAGCTCGTGGATCACATCTTCACCTCCCCTGAGAGCGGCGTGGTTTCAATGGCGAAGCAGGTCGTTGACGCGGCAGTGGCGAACGGGGAGTTCAAATGCATCAGTCACGACGCCACGTTCAAAGCCGCGTTTTCCATCATCGGGCAGACGCCCATGTCGCAGAAGGCAGGCGAGGTTCACGCGCTCCACACTTTCGTGGCGCAGTCTGGGCTTTGTTTAGGATGGAGCGGGCAGCGCTCGGAGGGGGAGAATGATTTCGTATGTCGGATTCCCCGGGCGAGTACTTCCTTCGCCACCTGCCGAACTGCCGCGGAGTGGCGGAAGACCCCGTGCATCTATCGATGAGGACCGACGGGTGCGCCCACGAGCGCAGGACAGCGCTGTCATGGCGAGTGCTGAAGCTGCACAAGAAGTTCCAGTGCCCCGCGCCGCCGGAGTGGGACATTTTCCGCGGCGAGCACAAGCCCATTTCCGAGTGGGACAAGGTTCGGCCAGGACGAGTGTTCACCGATGCCCAGTGGGCGGCGTACATCGAGAAGCCGTTCACCAGCGTGCGCGAATACATCGGGGCTTTCCGGCGCATCGCGTTGATGTGCCCGAGCATTTTTCACCCGCAAGGATCTGGAGGGGGTGTCAGTGCTGGTGCACCTTCAACGCGCGGGTTTGCACTTCTATTACACGCAGAACGTGTCCGTGTTCAGGCGCCCGCACCCGGACGTGCTGAAGAGCACGATGCGGAACGAGGCCATCCATCGCCAGGTGAAGGACTGGGGGCGCTGCGTGTATCAGTGCCACCGGGAGCGCATCGTCCTCGGGGGCATGATCTTCGGCATCTACAAGGCGCTCGCGCACTCCTGCAAGCAGGGCACCATGGTTCCTCGCGAGGGGCGGAAGATCTCGGGGATCCCCACGTGGGTTTGAAGCAGACGGGGAGTCGAAGGGTCGCCCCGCATCGTTGTTGCATCGGCGATGCAGCGCAAACCTGAGCCAGTTTTTCTCCGCCCCAGCGTCGCCGACGCATCGCCGATGCATCTGCGATGCGGCGCGTTCTTTCGACCCCCCCCCCTCCCCGCGTGCTTCGACCCCTTCTGCGTAGCCCCCAGGATCGCGCTGCTCGCGGGCGCCCTCTCCAAACGAGTGACGCCCGCGTTTGCGAGCGGCGCTCCGGTCGCCATCGCAGACCGCGCGCAGCTGCGCACGCCCATAGTGGCCGCGTCCGAGGAGGGGGCCGCGCGCCGCGCAGACCTCCGCGCACCCCAGCGGGATCGCGCCGCTGACCAGCGAGCCCTTGACGTGAGCCGCAAGGCCAAGCGGCCCCGCTGAGGGCTTGCCGCGGGCCACGGCCCGCCCTCCTCGCCGCGGCGCACAGGCGCGCGGGGGGCTGCCATCCCGGCGCGCGCGCGCCGGCGCGCCCTTCCATCTCGTTAATCCGATGCCGAGCGCGACGACCGTCGTCTCGGCCTGCGCCCCTTCTCCTTCTCGTCCTCTCCCGCTGTCACTCCGTAGCATATTAGGTTGTTCGCTGCGTTCTCGACTCGAATCTCGGGCGTCCCCATTCTTTCTCGCCGCCGCCCTTCGCAGCGCTCGCCGTGTTCGTCGCGGAGGCCGTCGGGAAACGATGCGCGCGCATGCGCATATGTGCTTGCGCGCGCGTGGTTATTATTGAGACCAGCGCGCGCATTAGACGCACTTGATTGCGTCGCCACGTCTGTGCCAGCACGCGCGCAGCATGTGCGTGCATACGCATGCACATTCTAAACATACATATGAGCACGCGCGGTGCATATGCTGACGGACATGCATCTGATCATGCATGAATTTGCACTGCACGTGCGCACGCGCACGTACACAATACACAACCGACACATGTGTGTACAGTGCACGTGCACACGGTACCTCTCGTTTCCCATTTTTCTCCCAAGCGCGCACGTATATATATATATATATATATATATTCATAAATATACAGCATTTTCATATGCGCGCCGCATGACTTTATGTATATGGGCATAGGGGTGTACAACGAAGTATGGGCACGCATCTCGAGTGTGTAATTTGAGCAAGTATATATGTATAGACACGTATTCATATATACATAAATATATACATATACATATACAGGTATATATATATTGTTAATTACACACGTGTATGTGAACAATCATATACGTGTACGCATTTTTCGATGTTGACAAATTTGAATTTCTATGCGTAGTGTAATTCATTTTTATGTTGGTCCCCGTGTTCATTTACGTCGTACACATATGTAGTATGCATATGTACGTATGTACGTATATATATATGTATATACATAAATACGCGAATTCGCTTACTGTGATATTTACACATGTTTACATTTGATGTAGTTACACATGTTTATCGTACAGGTGTGTGCGTACACTGTATAGTGAATAATTTTGGACATAGCGTTGACTGTAGATGTCTCACCCTGGGTTGTTTTTAACAACCCATACATGCATTACGTCTAGATATGCGTGCGCATCACGCCGGAATAATGTGTACATGTATGTGCTTGATCATATGTATATATATACATATATCTATACATATATATATATATATATATATATATATGCGTGTACACCTTTTGTGTGCTTATCATACCGATTCATACCACTTGCAAAAAAAACATTTATGCTGTGAATGCTGTTATACACCCGCCGTCAAGTGGTACCCGAACCCGCGTTTTCGTGTATGTCTTACACACATGTTTTGCACATGTCTGCGTGTAAATATTGTACATGTGTATAAGCGTGAATGTGTGGTTTTGTGTGTTATGTGTATACACATTAAAACTTGAATCCAACGTGTATGCATCTTTTGGGTGCTGACAAATTTACATGTCTATGCGTGTTGTAGTGTATGATTATTTTGAACCCGCATGTTCATTTAATTCGTACACACATGTTGTTTGCATATGTATGTATGTAAGTGTTCTAGTATATATATATATATGTATATGTATAAGAATATGTACGTGAATGGTTTTGTGATGTATGTGGAAAAAAACGAATGTATTGATGTCGTGATTTTTACTTTTATCACAGGTGTGCGCTTACATTGTACATTGAATACTGCCGTGTATCGTTTTTAGATTTATGTATATATACATGATCGGTTGTATATGTCTTAGTCTGAATTTTTTCTCAGCAGCCCACACCTACAATACGTCTACGTATGCGTGCGCACCACGCCTGAATAATATGTACATGTATATGTTTGATATTCTGTGTATATAGTAGTGTGCGCACGCGCATCTTATGTGTGTTACAGACACATTCATAACACTTACAAAACATTTACAGTTTGCATGCTGCTGTACACCCACAGTCAAATGGTACCCGATCCCGCACCTTACGGGGACCCCCCCTTTTCTCCGTCATTGTGGGCTCGCTCTCTCAAACCTGTTACCGGATATCTTAGCACGCCTCTGGTCCGTTGGGCCCGCGTCTTTTTTGTGTGAAAGAAGCTGGTGGGTCGGGGCCCTTCGTCAGAGACGTTCTTCGGGTTTGCCCGATGTTGCCCTGGATTACCCATGCAGTGCCAAGCCACGCAATGCCAAGCCATGAAAGGCAATGCCAAGCAACGCCAAGCAATGCAACACAATGCCAAGCAGCGATTTCAAGCAACGGCAAGCAATGCAAAGGAATGGCAAGCAATGTAAAGCGACGCTTTGCACTGAATTGCTGAGCATTGTTCAGAATTGTTGCCCTGGGAGAGAGAACGCCCCGAATCGGGGTCGCGCCAGGTTCACTTTCCGTCGCTCATCTGGCTGGTCCTGCCCACCCAGCCTCCTCTCAGAAGGACTGCGGGCCTGTTAGCGTTGATGACTGCTGCCTTCGCTTACCAACCTATTTGTGAGTTCTGGCAGTTTCTTGACCCCCCCCGCTAATCTCCCAGCCACTCCGGCCATAACTTCAGCAGTCGAGCGTCTCGGCTCCCCTGCGCGGTGAGTCTCAAAACGTTTGGATAGTTCAGGCGCACACATAGGCTAAGGCGCGTGCATCAGCGAAGGGTCCCGTTTCGGGACAGAACTGACGCGCTCCATCGTCAAATGAGGCGGCAGTGGCCTCATGCCTCGGGGGGCACATTTCTCGATACGTGGACCTGGCCCCCCCGCGCCAGATCCAAGGATCCGTAGACCCATGTCAGGGCGCGCCCGAGTGGGTCACTGGACAGAGGCTGGCGTCAAGCTAGCAAGCCGAGGGCGGAAAGCATATCTGTATCCTCTGCATCGCGGGACGGGTCCTTGGGCCGATCCCGTGGACACGGGGCGCTCCTCCGCAGACGCCCCGCGCATCATGCATCCACGATATCGCGCCCCGGAGTCAAGACCGCGAGGGCGTGGATGTGGATACGTTCGCCGCCTGTGATGCCGGGCTGATGCAGAGGTTTGGCTTGGTCTTCGGGCCATATTTCGGCTCCCCAGCGGCCGTTCGGGACGATCCCGGCACCCTCCGAGGTGGGAATATATCCAGAACCACCGCCTGGGGGGTCGATCTTCGCGGACCTCCACAGGCAGTGGATATGGATATATTCGAGCCCCTGGGGGCCAAAATATCTCCATATCCACCCCCCGCCTGGGCACCAGGCCGTCGGTTCCCAGGCGGTGGATATGGATACATGCCCGCCCCGCACACCCCCCGAACGCCCTCGGCGAGGCGCGGATGCTGAGAGCGCACCTCGAGGCTGGGCAGCCGCCTAGAACCGACGAGGACGTTTGAAAGCCTCGGTCGCCCGAGGGCGCCCAGCAGGCCCGCGGCGCCTCTTCGCGCGGCTCCCCGCCCGTCTCGACCAAACAAAGCTGACGACACCACCCCTTTTTGCGTCGGCGGCTGGGCGGAGGGTGACTGCTCCGGCGGAATGGCAACAGGGGACACGCTGTATGCAAATTAAGGCCGCAAAGCACGGAGGAGGAGGAGGAGGAGGAGGAGCCCCGGCGCGACAGGAGGAGGGGAAGCTGGGCAAACGACACCACCCCACCGAATTACGGCCCTCCATATTATGCTACGCCCCCTCGCGGGCCGCAGCGCACATCGCGCAAAAGCCCACGCCGGCTGGGTCCGCAGGTGGCGCTGGTGTCGTTTGTTTTTCAGCTCGGGCCGCGGCCCAGTGCAGGCCGCAGGCCGTCCCCGGCCGCGGCCGCGCGCCGCCCCCGAGAGGACGGGCCCCTCCACGCCGCGGCCGCGCGTGGCTCCGCCGCGGCCGTGCGCCTGCTCCTCGAGAGCGGGGCGGACCCGAGCGCGAAGGAGCCTCCGGTCTGGGCCTCCCAGGTGGGGTCGGGGCAGATGGGGTCGGAGGATCGCGCAGCACCGCCGATGCATCGGCGATGCGGCTCGATGCGGAGCCCGATTTCTCATGCGCCGATCCGGTGCAACCCTCCGACCCCATCTGCTCGGACTCCATTCAAGAGGCCTCTATTCGCGCGCGATGGTTTCGAGAGCACGCATTGCGCCGGCTTTCTTATCATGTGGCCAGTCTCGCGGATTGGGGGACCGTGTTTATTTAACGTGAGTGGGCGCGTACGTTCTTCGTGGGCTTCCCTACTCTGGGTTTCCTGGATGGGGTCCGAGCAGATGGGGTTGGAGGATCGTGCCGCATCGCCGAGGCATTGGCGATGAGCCCGATGTGTGCGCCACGCCGACGTCGCTGGTCTGTCGACCCCATCTACTTGGACCCCATCTGGGAGGCTTCTATTCCTGAGGAAGTCGGGGCGGAGTTCCGGGGCGTCCAGGACTAGAGGAGGAAGAGGTGCCCACGCCGCAGCTCTGTCCTCGTGTTCGCCCTTGTTTCGGGGTTCCTGGGAGGCCCTCGTCGCCACGGCTGGACTCGCCTCGAGAAGTTCTGGTCGG